ATCCCGTTTGGTAGCAAAAGGTTTTACTCAAAAAGAAGGAGTTGATTTCAATGAAATTTTTTCACCTGTAGTAAAATTTACTACAGTTAGAGTCATTCTTGCCTTGGCTACTCAATTTAATTGGGAATTAGACCAATTAGATATAAAAGCAACTTTTCTAAATGAGAATTTGGATAAAACCATTTACACGAAACTACCTAAAAGGTTTTGAATTGAATAAGAGAGTTGACTTAGTTTGCCTTTTTAAAAAGTCCCTATATGGCTTAATACAAGTCCCAAGATAATGGTATAAAATTTTTGACAATTTTGTACTTGGACTTGGATTTAAGAGAAGTAACTTTGATATTTGTCTTTATTGCAAAGGAAATGATGGAGCTAATTCACTTTATCTACTCCTCTATGTGGATGACATGCGATTAGCAAGTCATGACATAAAAGAGATAGAGGAAATCAAAGACAAACTAAAATCAGAATTTGAAATTAAGGCCTTAGGTCCTGTTAGAAAGATTTTAGGTATTGAAATTAAGAGAAATAGAAGAGAATGCAAACTAATTATTAGCCAGAAATCATACATTCTGAAAATGNAGCTAATTCACTTTACCTACTCCTTTATGTAGATGACATGATATTAGCAAGTCATGACATAAAGGAGATTGAGGAAATTAAAGACAAACTAAAATCTGAATTTGAATGAAGGACTTAGGTCTAGTTAGAAAGATTTTAGGTATTGAAGTTAAAAGAAATAGGAGAGAAGACACACTAAGTCTTAGCTAAAAATCTTATATTCTGAAATTGCTTAGTAAGTTTTCTATGGCTAATTCAGAAGTGCTAGTGTTCTCTTGGCTAATCATTTTAAACTTTCAAATGATCAATGTCCTAAAACAAAAGAAGAATTTGAAAGAATGGCAAAAGTACCTTATTCTAATGCAGTTGGGTCTGTAATGTACCTTATGGTGTGTTCAAGACCAGATTTGGCATATTCTATAAGTGTTTTGAGTAGATATATGTCAAATTCAGGTGAAACACATTGGCAAATCATGAAATGGATTCTCATGTACATTAAGGGGATTTCAGACTTGGGCATTCAGTTTAGAAAATAAGTTGAATGTGTTATTTTAAAGGGATTTACTGATTATGATTATGCAGGTGATAGGGATAACAGAAAATCCACCTCAACCTACATGTATACCTTGTGTAATTCCTGTATAAGCTAGAAATCTCAGCTTCAAAAGATTGTGGCGCTGTCCTCTACTGAGGGAGAATACACTGCTGCCACCGATGCAATTAAAGAGAGAATTTGATTAAAAGGATTACTTAATGAATTTGATTTTGTTAAAGAAGTTGTTCTTTATTCTGATAGNTTGCAGCCACTGATGTTATTAAGGAGGGAATTTGGTTAAAATGGTTACTTAATGAATTTGGTTTTATTAAAGAAGTTGTTCTTTATTCTGATAGCAATTCATTTAAGTAGAAATCATGTATTGCATAATAGATCTAAGCATACTGATGTTATATTTCATTTTATAACAGATATTATTTCACAAGGTGTTATGAAACTGGAAAAGATATCAACTAACTGCAATCATGCTAATGTAGGTACTAAGGTTCCACCTTTAAATAAATTCCTGGATTGCTTGACCTTGCTGAATGTTACTGCATGCTGATCTGTGGATGTGGTAAAGTGTGCTAATGATGTCGTAAATGTGAGAATGACCACTGATGAATGTGAATCATTGTACCAAGGTGGAGTATGAAGGGAATTGGCACAATGATGCTAACAGCCATGGTTGAAATGAATTGAGTTACCCAGCTGACTGTTTTTGTGGTTTATTAACTTGGTGCAAAAACGTGTTTTGAAGAAATGTCTTAAGTCGTGTTTTAACTTACCTGATTAATGAACGCCCAGGATGTCGCCATGTGTCAGCTCCTACGCCGTTGGATTGGAGACCATTGGGTGACCCTTATAAGGGGCTTCCAGGGTTTGCACATTGGATATTGCTTCAGTTCCTCTCTTTGTTTCTGTGTCGTTCCGAAGTCTTCTTCTCCTTCGCTCTATTGAAATCAAAATACTCTTTTGATTTCGTTTTCTCTCTTAAATGTTGTAATCTTGTGGGATTTCCTTTAAGCTGAGTTGTTGTTATTGTGTGAACTGTTGTTGAGTGAAGGCTGAGATCTTTGGGAAATACGGGTTTAGACTGAGTGCTCAAACCTCTTGTAATCCTTATCTTGGTTGTGATTTGTATTCGCATGGTGGTTGTTCTTCAGTGACTGAAGCACTGATCGACTGGGTTTTGGCCTGAGGACTTTGATGAATAAGATTTCATATTTTTACAGTTTACTTTAGTTTTCTTTTGTGTATATTTTTTGTTGATTTGTGAACTAACTTCTGTGAATCTCCTCCCAACATTCCACATATGTAATAAGCTGGTTAGACCTCTACTAAGCTGGTTAGACCAACTTACTATAATTTTTATGATGTAATTCTATAATAAAATAAGAAAGTTTGTGAGTTTATGGATAAGACGTATATTTGGGAGAGTTGTGTTAAAATCGGAAACTGAAAGTGTTCCCTTTCTTAATTGACCGAGTGAGGAGATAGGGTTTGAAATACGACCTCAATCTTTCAAATAATCTTTTACCGAGTCTCGGATTAAGGTATAGTCGTTCTTTTTATGCAGGTTGACATTGACTTCAACAAAAAGCCAATTGTTGTAGGCAAAGATGGTAAGGATGTCTATTTCAAGGATATATGGTCATCAACTGAAGAAATTGCAGAGGTATGTGTACATTGAACTGAATGCCCATTAGCAGAAAGGTAATATTAAATGGTCAAGTAAAATGAAACTCATGCGTTGTAGGTCGTTCAATCCAGTTTATTGCCTAATATGTTCAAAAGTACATATGAAGCTATCACAAAGGGTAATGCCATGTGGAATCATTTATCAGTACCAATTGCCAAGCTATACTCATGGGACCCGAATTCTACTTACATTCACGAGCCACCATATTTTAAAAATATGACTATGGATCCCCCTAGGCCAAATGGAGTGAAGGATGCCAACTGTTTGCTGAACTTTGGTGATAGTATCACTACAGATCACATCTCGCCAGCTGGAAGCATTCACAAGGATAGGCTGCCAAGTATCTTGTCGAGCATGGGGTTGATCGCAAGGACTTCAACTCTTATGGGAGTTGTTCGCTTGAAAATGTACCGCAAGTGCACGGTTCGCATACAAGTAATAAAGTGGACTTTTAGAGTCCGAGATATCAATCCCTCAAGGAATGACTATTTAAT